CCTTTTTAGAAAATAAAAAATCATTTACTTTTGACGAATAAAATTTCTTTCTCTCGCCAAGTCAATTATTCCAAAGCTAATTGTCACAGTTGTATCATGTATGTGTTAAGACCATAGATGAAATAAGAATATTGTTAGTGTTGCCATGGCACTCATAGAAATTTCTAATGTTCCAAGATGCTTCACACTTTTCTAGACAAGTTACTTCATAAATTTTAAAACACGTTTTGAGAATCATAAAAGCGTGTCTTCACACATTTTTTATAAGTTAAACTTTTTTGTTATTTTTTTATTTTCGTGGTAAATTCATAAAAGTTTCAATAAATCCCTCAATTGAAACGTGTTGAGAATAGGAGTTAAAAATCTTTTTCTATTTTTTCAAGTAGTTTGTAAAATTTAAGACCACCAAATCATCAAATTATGAATAAATTAAAAAGCAAACATTAAAAAGGTGAAGACAGTGGCATAAAATATAAAATAAATCTTTATTGTAAATATATATATATATATATATATATATATAAATTAAAAATATAGAAAAAAATAAGGAAAGATTTCCTAAAGAAAAAGAAAAAATTAAAAGAAAATATTAGAAAGTAAAATTTAGAAAATATATAATCTCATCATCAGCTAACATGATTACATCCGAAAAAAAATAGTGCTTTCTAATATTATATTAATATAGCCAAAGAAAAACATATAAATACAACAGTGTGAGGAGTATCAAAAAAATTGAAACGAAAATCGAACTCATTAAGCAAAAAATGCAAATTAAAAATAGATAATAAAAACTCAAGAAAATAAAGAATAAAACTCAAAATGTAATACATAAAGCGAGTAGCGAATTCAAAAGTACTTACATTTACAGGCATTTTTCAAAAATGATTTTAAATGTGCTCGTAACAAGTTTACCAGATTGTAATTAGGAAAATAGAAGCGTAAATAGAGGATAAGGGGAATCAACTTCTGGCGCGTTCTTACTGTAGTACAGAAGCGTGTTTGATTTGTTAGTTACCTTGGATTGGCCCGAATATGGAAGTGCGAAAGGTAATAATATTATACTGGGTAATTCAAAGTATATAATTAATAAGTATATAATGAATTTTAATTATAAAATTTTAATATTAATAAGGTTGAATTTAGAGATATTATAACATTTAATGAAAAAAAATATTTGAAAAAATTTTATAATTTTTTTTAAAATTAAATATTAGAAGATTTTTAGCCATTAATTTACCCGAATCGGCTAAACCAATTTCTTTTAATTCATTATCTCATCCATTTTTCCTAATTTTCTTCACTAATCTATCTATCTCTCTTTTATCCTTTTTGTCTTTATTATATATATATATATATATAAACATAGCGAGAGAGGCGGAAGATAGATAGATGGAAAAACGTTAGCAATTAAGCGATGTTGTTTTATAGTTTTGCTATCAACTTCTAAAGGATCCCTTGAAATTCAAAATCCAGTCTTATTTTCACCTAAAGCATACTTTAATTCCTCTTTGCAGACAAAGTTGAAGATCAATTCATGAGTTTCTGTCAACATGTTAAAGAACGATCTTCATAGAACGCCTTCACGTCCAAAAAAATCAGCTTTTGCTGCTTAAATTTGTGAAGTCAACGTCTAAAGTGTCATCGTAACGTTAAAATTCTGTTTTGCTTTCGCTTAAACATATTATGACATTTCTGCTGCCATTAGCAGGCAAAATTGAAGCTCAATTCCAAAATGTATGACACTATTTTGACGAATGACTCTTATCGAATTAAAATTTATTGTTAAAATTCAATCTTTTCAACCGAAACATTTTATTTTGATTGTCATAGATTGGTAAATTTGAAGCTTAATTCTTTAATGTATGACACAAAATTAAAGATTGACTTTTATAAAATACATACATGGTTCATAAATATACAGAGATTGGATAAGAATATGGAAACACTTCTATAGTAACTCCATATAAATAATTTTTCCCTCCGCAGCAAATGTTTCGGAAGATTTTGCACGGTAAAACTGTTTACACAACTTAAAACACCAATCTTGCTTGAAGCTTTTCGAAATGGTGTCTTTTTTACTCATTCAAAATTTGCATTGACCAAAGTTCACGTAGGAAGCTTTTTCATTTTTCAATATCATTATAATTAGAAAAGCATTCTAATATAAATATACGCCTCCTAAAGTATTGTAGTATTTCCATAATTTTGTCTAATCTCTGTACCTTTTGTGGTGCAACCTTTAAAGTGCTCATTGTAATCTAGAAATGCAGTTTTATTAACTTAAATATGAAATTTCTGCTGCTATTAGCAAGCAAATTTGAAGCTTAATTCCAAAGTGTATGACACCATTATTAATCAGTGCTGTTTTTACTGCTTCAAGAAAGAGAAGTAACTGGTAGTAAAACCATTTAATTTCTAGCTTATGTTTATAAGGAATAAATACCCCTGATTACCAAAACTTATTTACAGTTATTTTTCCAGCAAGGCAATCTGTTTTTTATAGAAATTATAACTTTTAATACATTATAACATTTTTATCCATTTTAACTTGGTAGCCAGTATTTTCCCCAAAGCAGTCTAGTTATAAAATGCCAATTTTTTTTCTCTTCCGGGGAACAACCAGATCTCAATCATGTTTATTTTTTTTTTGCTTTACAAATGTAAACCTTTTAAGTGTTATAAAAAATGATTAAATTCCATCCTGATAATTTTCCACAAAGCGTCGAAGCTCACTCACCTATTGAAGAAAGGCGTTTTATGGTAAAGTCGCACCATCAAACATACATCCAGGATTTCAAATGCTCTTACCTTTCAGAAAGTAGTAGCGAAATTGATAGCAGAAACGACTATAAAAAATTAGCAAACTTTTTAAAAAAAATAGATTTCGATACAAAAAATTTTTAAAGTGTCATTCTCAAAACTAAAATGTATATCTAAATTTAATTATTTCTTACAACTATATGAATAAGCCTATATGTAACACCAATGAATACCACGCTAATTTTACATGGTTTGCCCGTCTGACCACACGGTAAATAACTACAAACTAAATTTGCAAATATTAGACAGATTTTACTAGTTTTTTAAAAGGTTTAGCATGACGTATCTAAAGAAAGTGGTGAATTGTTTAGAAGCCAATGAATTGTTTAGAAATAGTGGTGGATAAAAATCTACTAAATTGAATTTATTAAACCAAGAATCACAATTAATAAACTACCACTTGAAAATATTTATTCACTGTCCGGAGCAAGTTTGCATCTCTATGTATATAAATAAAACTATTTTTGTGTGNGCTATTAGCAGGCAAATTTGAAGCTTAATTTCAAAGTGTATGACACCATTATTAATCAGTGCTGTTTTTACTGCTTCAAGAAAGAGAAGTATCTGGTAGTAAAATAATTTAATTTCTAGCTTATTTTTATAAGGAATAAATGTTCCTGATTACCAAGACTTATTTACAGTTATTTTTCCAGCAAGGCAAACTGTTCAGTATAGAAATTCCAACTTTTAATCCATTATAACATTTTAATCCATTATAACTTTTAACTTGGTAGCCCGGATTTTCTCCAAAACAGTCTAGTTATAAAATGATTTTACTGCCAATTTTTCTTCTCTTCCGGGGCACAACCAGCCTTCATTCATGTTTAATTTTTTTTCACTTTACAAATGTAAACCTTTTACCTGTTATAAAAAATGCTTAAATACCATCCTGATCATTTTCCTCAAAGCGTCGTATCTCACTCAGCTACTGAAGAAAGGCGTTTTATGGTAAAGTCGCACCATCAAACATACATCCAGGATTTCAAATGCTCTTACCTTTCAAAAAATAGTAGCAAAATTGATAGCGAATCGACTTTTTAAAAAAAAAATAGATTTCGATTTAAAAAAATTTTTAAGTGTCATTTTCAAAACTAAAATGTATATCAAAATTTAATTATTTCTTACAACCATATGAATAAGCTATTAACACATTGAATACCACGCTAATTTCACATGGTTTGCCCGACTGACCACACGGTAGATAACTACAAACTAAATTTGCAAATATTAGACAGATTTTGCTAGTTTTTTAAAAGGTTTGTTTAGCATGACATATCTGAAAAACAGTGGTGAATTATATAAGCCAATGAATTGGTTAGAAATAATGGTGGATAAAAATCTACTAAATTGAATTTATTAAACCAAGAATCACAATTATTAAACTACCACTTGAAAATATTCATTCACTGTCCAGAGCAAGGTGGCATCTCTGTGTATATAAATAGAACTATTTTTGTGTGCTCTATATTGCATTAATTTCTTCGAACAATTTTAGTAACGATAATATAAAAAAAATTAAAAATTTACTCGAATTATGTGTTTCTAATAATCTTGGCCTCGCCGGTCACCGGTAACCCCCTTGGCGCTACGAACAAACTCAGTGCCGGTCACCGGTGACCCCATGGCTCAATGTGTTAACAGTTTTTAAAAACTTCTTATGGTATGTTTAAGAGGGTTATCTTAGAAAATATCTATTCTTATCATAATAAGACAACAATAGTTTTATAACTATTCTTGAATATAAACTTGAGCACATTTTTGATTTTAAAACTACAAAAAGAACTTACAAAAAATATCCACTTAGTTTAAATATCATTTATAAAAAAAATAAAAAATACATTCTCCTTTTATAAATTAGGTTAATTTTAGTGCGATAAAAACCAGTCGATTTCTGCAGTATACGACTTAAGACAACGAAATTTGTTTTTAACTTGAATGAAAATCTATTTTTTCCAGGACACAAAAACTAAACTTCGAAAATATTTCTGAAATTTTAATTAACAAAACCTTCTCATTCTAAAGCTTGGCGTTTTCTAAAACAAACTCATTTTCTGTCTTATTTATCTAAATTCATTTCCCCACTCCACGAAAACGGCCACGATACTCATTGATCTATCCAAGACCGTTCGCAAGAGGGCAGTAGTGAAGAATTTTCCTGTTCCCTGCGTATATTTTCCCGGTTTCGAGGTTTCCCCAATTCAGGAGATGCTACTAGAATTTCTTCTCATTCACCTTTACTTTGGAACGAGTCCTTCATTTTAAAGTCGTTTGGGGGTAAGAATATTCTATTTATATTATCGTTTTCAATGCATTTCTGTACTTATGATTCGATTTAAATTTATATCAATGCAGACGATTTCTCTAGCTTCATGAAATCGATTTCTGGAGTCTCGATTTTCACGTTTTCTCCTTGGAGGTCGTAATGCAGAGACGAAGTGTGGAATTCTTATAAAAAAATAATTGCATGAATGGGCGAATTTGTTATCTGAAATTCGTTGCATAAAATTGAAATAAAATAGACATAAATACCAATTTGAATTTTAATTCAAAAGAATATTGTCATATCGTTTTGATTTTACGTGATAGATTTAAATAGTCGTTTGGTACGTCCAACTTCTTACGAAATTTTTCCATTTTCTACTAATGTAAATAATTCAATAAAGTATTTAAATTATGAGTAATTATTATTATAAACTACGTTTTAAGTAATAAAACAAGAGAAAGTTATTTAAATTTCCTTTGGAACGTAACCTAAACGTAGGCCTTATTTACATTAATTGCTTAATTATTGGATAAAATTTTATCAGAGTGTTAACTAAATTTTTTAGTTTTTCTCTAGGAAAAAATTAGAGGAACTGCTTAGTATAGTAAAAAATAATAAAAAAAACTTGAAATATAAATAAAGCTTACATTTAATGTACATCGTTCAAGAACTATAAAATGACAAAACTATATCCATAATGTTTATATATTGGTTTTATTTTTATAGATCTCATCGAAATAACCAATTACTTCTTAATTCTAATTATTGTTATTCGTTACTTTTTGTGTAAAATTCTTCAACTTTTCATTGTTGTACTAAACAAAGCAATTATAAATAATTTTATAATCAACTTTTTAAAGAATTATATCTTTTAATTACTCTATTTTAATTAAGAAAAAATTTTGGTGCTCCCTTAATGTAGTCGTGTTACCTTAATCTAGTATTTCTTTTCATTACTTTTTTAATCACTAAATAAATTTATGAAGAAGTGCTTATTGTTTCTATTTTTCATCTGGCAACAGTACATAAACCGCTTTAAGTTTAAAAAAAATGAATGAATTCGTAACTTAAGAGAAAATTACTGTTACATATAGCATTTTGCTTTAGAACTTAATACTGCCAGAGATTCAATTATATATTTAAAAGAAAATTTTAAAAAACAATTAAAAATTTATTTTTATTTATGTTTAAAGTAGTAGCAAATCTATGCTTTGCTTTCTCTTGCCAATTTTCATTTAAAATAATTTTAACCACCACTCCATATAAATGTATGATAATGATTTCGATGGTGTATATAGGTTTCAACAAAATAAAAAACTATTCCAGCCTACAAATGAAATTCAATTTTCAATTTACTAACACTTCGCGCAAATAATAAAACTTTTTAGATATTCTACATTACTTATAAAATATATGGAATACAAGTAATAGCATGAAATGTGGGGACTTTAGTATATAAGTATCAATTTTTAATCTTAGATCAATTTAAGCCCATAAACATCAGTTTCAAATCGTTTGAAGTAAAAATAAAAAAATAAAAATTTTTTGCAAATGCTAAAGTTAAGTGAAAGTTGTAAAATAATTAAAAAATCTCTCTCATTCTGTTAAAAGCCACAAAAAGAAAAATGTCTAGAAATCAATAATATAAAAATCAAAATTAAAATCAATTAATTTGTATTTGATATTCTTTTCTTTTCAATATAGATAGAATCACATAAAGCATAATTTCTGCCATTTTCATGAATTTAACCAGTTATTATAAAACTAGCTCTAATTAATTATTGAAATATGCTTAGATTTTTATTGCCAATACATAAACACAATACCAATGATTATAAATAAACATAGGTATGAATTTTTTTGTGAAGAATTCTGATATTTTAATATAGGTTTATCGAACTTCACTGCCCATTTCCGTTTAGTCTGTTAGCAGAATCGATCGAATGAAGCTTTGATTAACTGGCGAAACTATTCATCTAACTGACAATCAATCGTAATTTTCTCAAACCAGTCTATTAGCAGTCTATCAAAATAGGGATAATATCATGCGATGCGTACGAATTCGCAGCCAGAATGCCGTAGTTAATATGTCATTTTAAATGTAATAAAATAAAATAATGAAAACATGATTCGAATTTCTTTTATTTTATAACCGTCGTTGAACAGCCGGCCCAATTTTGAATTTACGAACACCAATGTTCAACTCCATAGCCTTGTAATTTTGAACCTAATCCAGCAGACACGAAAACTCCTGGATTAAGATTGGGAGAAATTTACCTTCGTGGAGGATTTTTTGATGGAACTAACCCGCTTGCGTTAAATGGAAAGGAAAAAAACGAAAACCTCACACAGTTGGCCTGACAGCAAGGAGACTCAAACCCACTATCCGTCTACCATTGAGGATATATTTACTTCATCACTGAAGTCGGTGTGAATCTATGTGGAATTCGTATCGGCCAGCCATCGCTGGGATTCGAACTCGGTTTATCTCATTGAGGGCAAACGCTCTATCCCCTGAGCCATCATTTCAAAATTCGAATTTACTGTAACATATTATTTAAGCTTACTTATATTAACCAGGAAAAATTAAGAAATTTTGCTATTCATGAGTAGTAAAATTTTTTACAATTGCCATTTTGTAAAAAGTTCTTAACACTTTTTAGAAAATTTAAAATTTTAAGTGATTAGAAGCATGTTTATATATATAATGTAAGGAAGCATTTCTTAAAATATGGTAAATATTAAATTGAAGAAGAATTTTACGAAACAAGCATAAAATAATTTCAAAACATTGTAATTTTCAAAATATTGTAATTTTCAAAATATTGTAAAATATTCAAAATATTGTAAAATATTCAAAATATTGTAAAATATTCATAAAAATCCCATATTTATTTTGAAAATAATAATTGGATGGATACGGGTTGCGCGAGCCCTTATTTGGTTTAAAGGCATATGGAGTCTGTCTACTTCAAAATTTAAAATTATATGGTGCATATATTGTAGCATCAGACGAAAGTTAATTTTCGTTCTATTTTAAAAAATCGTCAAAGCCGTCACTGTTTTGGATGTTCAATTTAGCTCTACATTTTTTTTTGTTTGACTTTAAGAATTAGAAATTTAAGTTACGAAGGTGTATGGAAAAATGTACACAGAATTCAATGGCATAAAAAATTAACATACTATAATTAGTTATGATTAATCATTAATTGTTAAACTTGTGTTAACTATTCAACACTCGACAGTTCGTAGGAATGTAATTTTTTAGTTGAAATTTATCATACTGAAAGGGCCATATTCAATTATAAACTTAACGAGCTTTTTAAAAAAATTTCGACAGTTATCGTTTGACAGTCATCGTAATTTAAAGTTTTATTTTTGTGATTTTTTTCTCACTTTTTTTGCTTTTAAATAATGATTATTTATCCATTGTTGTCGAAAAATTTATTTCGCTCGAGATAGTTATTTTTTGAAATCGCAAAAAAAAAATATATAAATAAAATAAAAGAAGTCGATTAGATGTTGCCAGATATAAATCAAAATTGTTATCAATCAAATCGTATTGAAATAATAATAAATCATATAGAATTTTTTTTTAAAAATATAAATGTCTTGTTAAAGATCAAAACCGTTTGCAATTCGAACTGTTTTGCAATATCAAGTTATCGTTATGGATTGTTAACAAGCTAAATTATTTTTGATTTATTACTTCTTATTGTGTCACACAGTGTATATCCGCAAGTTTAACTATTTCTTATTGAAAAAAGTTGATTATTTTTAAGGCAGTTCATTATTTTTCAGACAGTTGATTATTTTTCATACCGTTATGTACAGTTGATTATTTTTCAAATCTAAGTAATCTTTCCTTTTGTTACGATTAATATAGTAACAAAATTAACATATTAACGATTATATAAAAACGATTAATATATTTCGTATTGTGTCACGCCTTGTATATCCGCAAGTTTAAATATTTCTTATTGAACACAGTTGATTGATTTTATGGCAGTTNCAGTTATTATAAAACTAGCTCTAATTAATTATTGAAATATGCTTAGATTTTTATTGCCAATACATAAACACAATACCAATGATTATAAATAAACATAGGTATGAATTTTTTTGTGAAGAATTCTGATATTTTAATATAGGTTTATCGAACTTCACTGCCCATTTCTGTTCAGTCTGTTGGCAGAATCGATCAATTGAAGCTTTGATTAACTGGCGAAACTATTCATCGAAATGACAATCAATCGTAATTTTCTCAAACCAGTCTATTAGCAGTCTATCAAAAGAGGGATAATATCATGCGATGCGTACGAATTCTGAGTCAGAATGCGGTAGGTAATATGTCAGTTTAAAAGTAATAAAATAAAATAATAAAAAAATGATTCGAATTTATTTTATTTTATTACCGTCGTTGAACAGCAGACCCATTTTTGAATTTACGGCAACCAATGTTCAACTCCATAGCCTTGTAATTTTGAACCTAATCCAGAAGACAAGAAAACTCCTGGATTAAGATTGGGAGAAATTTACATTCGTGGAGGATTTTTTGATGGAACTAACCTGCACTTGCGTTAAATGGAAAGGAAAACCACGAAAACCTCACACAGTTGGTCTGACAGCAAGGAGACTCAAACCCACTATCCGTCTACCATTGAGGATATATTTACTTCATTACTGAAGTCGGTGTGGAATTCGTATCGGCCAGCCATCGCTGGGATTCGAACTCGGTTTACCTCATTGAAGGCGAACGCTCTATCCCCTGAGCCATCATGGCAAAATTCGAATTTATTGTAATATATTATTTAAGATTGCTTACATTAACAAGGCAAAATTAAGAAATTTTGCTATTCATCAGTTATAACATTTTTTACTGTTGCCATTTTGTAAAAAGTTCTTAACACTTTTTAGAAAATTTAAAATTTTAAGCGATTAAAAACACGTTTATATGTATAATGTAAGGCTTTCCTTTGAAGCATTTCTCAAACTATGGTAAATGTGAAAT